TGGAGGCCATGGCTATTAGGTTGGAGATCATTACTAGTAGTAGCTAGGAGCTACTAGGTGGACGCCATGGCTATTAGGTTGGAGATCATTACTAGTAGTAGCTAGAAGCTACTAGGTGGAGGCCATGGCTATTAGGTTGGAGGCCACTACTACTAGTAGCCAGAAGCTACTAGTATTTGTCCGGCTTCATGGTTGCCTACTTTGCTCTGCAAACTATTTGAAGAAACGCTTTGGGAGTCGTCGGCGGTCCGGGTTTGGGGAGTTTGATCCTGATGACGGAGGGAAGGAGGTGTGGGCATCGGGTCGGACGTCGGGTATTCATACTGATTCTACAAAAGGGAAGCTTGGGTGACCAAGATGACCTGGATTGATGGAGTGTCCATGAGTTTCCCAAGTAGTTCCTAGAAGTGTAGAATCTTGATTAATTATTTTGATCTGATCAAACATATCTCTCATAATGAAAAGGTTTTACTGGTAGCTGTCTCGGGTCAAGCCCATTCAGCTTTGGGAGCGCCCGGTCCCCGCGGACCTGCGACCGAATTCCCCTTCGGCGTTGGTCGTCCACAAAAGCCCTTGGCTGACCGGCTTTTGTTTGTGCTCGCTACGTGTCCCTCTCGACCCGCGCCATGTCTTCCTGGACTGAAGTTGCTCATTTGATTGAGGGTTCGTTGTCTGGACGGCGCCTTCTCACGTTTCGTGAGTTCTGGCAGGATCACCGGAGTCGCAACACCACGGTCTGCCGTGGGAGTGCGGTGATCCTTGTCGGGATGGTCGAAGAAGTGCTCAATGAGACAGTCAAGATCAGGCCCATGTGTTTTGAACCCTGGCAAGGATTCATTCCTCAAGAGTGCAACTCGCTGCAGGCTGTCATTCCGGACCTACGCAACCGTGCTATTAAGCTGAACATTGGTGGTGATATTCTCCTGTATGGCTCGAGTACTAGTGCCGGGGATCCTTCGGTGATGACCTTCTCCAAGGATGTCCTTGTGCTGCATCGATCAAAGTTTGAGGCACAGCTGCCGTACAACCTCCTCCACCTCTTTTCAGGCTCGTACTGTGGATGGTCCAGAGCGATGGAATGGTACTCAGATTGCAGTGGGCTCCCAAACCTTCCTAGACGCGGACTCAATGGTGCTGGATGTCTGGTCTCAGCAACACAACCAGAACTATTATTGTGGCAAGACCGAAGCTCTGGCAAAATGGGATCCATCAGAGATCATTGGCGTTTGTTCCGCTGTAGATGACCCTTCGACTCTGCTGCGGTGCTTGTGGCCTACGAACTCAGTGATCACCGCATCGCCACCATGCATCAGCTGGTCCCGTGGCGGCAAGTTGCAAGGTTTAGATTGCACCTCAGGGTTTGCAGCCTTTGAAGCTGTACAGCTAGTGGAGTTGCAGCAACCGCTGCTCCTTTTCCTTGAGTGTGCGGATGAAATCATCGCGCATGCTCATTTTAAGCTGTTGCAAGCCGCTCTCAAGATTCTGGGCTATGCCCTGGTGTGGCAGCAAGTTGTGCCGCTTCATCAGTTGACCCACAACTCTCGCACCCGATGGCTGGCCATTTGGAAGAGAGCGGATGTGCCGTGCCAAGCCTTCGACACCACTGTCATCCCCAGAGCACCACCTCTTTCGCCATGGCATTCACCCCTGAATTGCTTTTGGTTACCTGAGGACCTCAAACAGCAGTTGGTGTTGAAACCTGAGGCCCGTGAGTGCTATGCAAATCCGCAGTTCCTTCCGCCTGCAAAGCGTGTTAGGTTGACTGAGGGCACGGGTCTGGAAGTCCTTCTTAAGCGTGTTCCTCCAGCTAATGAAGCTTTACCGACCCTTTGCTGCTCGTATTCGAAGCAACATGAGATTGAGGCTGCACATCTTTCGGATAAAGGCATTTTCGCTTCCCTCGTCCAGTGTGGTGATGATTTTGCCTTCCTTAGTCCTTTGTCGTTCGTTTCCTTGTTCGGCTCAACTGGCAAAGTCGTTCTGCCATGTGATGTGCACCAGGCCTTTCATGTCCTCGGCAATGCCATCGCACAGCCACACGCCTTACTTGCACTTGCGATTGGTCTTGTCTCATTGTCCAATGCTCCGGTCTCCATCCTTGCCTTGGTCCAAGAGTGTTGGCATGATCGTTTGACTGCGGAAAATGCATTTGTACACCGATCTGAGCAGTGGCTCACAGTGCAAAAAGCCGATGCCTTCTTTCGCCAGCTCAACTTTCGGTTTCTTGCGTTGCCCAATCCGGACATTCGTTATCTGTCTGTGCGCACCACCTTGTCTGAGAGTGCAATATCTAGAGACACTAGTGTAGCTGCCGATGCCACACTGCTCGCCGCTCTTCAGCAGATCCTTGTCCTTGACGAGTGCGATCCAAGCCCTTTCCAGTTTCGAGCGCCGGCGAACAGGGATGCGGTCCTTCACAGGGTTGAAACAGCTTTCCAAGAATTCGATCTCGTCCAATGTTTCTGGAAGGACATTTGCTTCGCTTCGTTTGCAAAGGGTGGGCCCTTGTTTGCCGAGACATGTCCTCCACCTGATGAACTGCCACCGACTGTGCCGTTTTCTGCGCATGAAGATGAAGAGCCCAAAGTGATTGAGTGCACTCCATGGTCTTTCGATGACCTTCGCAGACATTTGTCCTTCCATGAGGCCTTGGCCTTTGTCGAGCATCTCTTCAAGGTCCTTAAAGATGGTGGAGCATCCAAGTGTGTTGCGGCCTTAGCGTGGGAAGCACCACCTGTGTTGTTTGCCATTGAGCTTGACAAAACAGACCCCCTTGGATGTGCTCAGAGCCAAATCGATGTCCTTTTCCCTGGGAAGTTCCATGTCTTCCTTGCTCCCGGTAGAGTCAAGAAAATTGCCGATGGTCCACTTGTGATTGTCCGTCCTGTTGACCACCAGCATGATGCCTTCGTTGTCTTTGTCGAAATCGCACCTACGACATGTGTCTTTTTGAAGGCCATCCCAAAATGCATTGACGCCAACACAATTGTCATTACCGCCCATGGCAGGCATCGCATTGTCACTCACAACTTTCGTGTTGCGACGACTTCCATGCTCTGTTATACTGGCGACATCTTTGTCATTGAGAAGCTTGACACCCGACCTGTTGTTGCTGCAGGCCATCATCTGGATCAACCGGCTGCTTTTCTTCCGGCAGGTGCTTCGTTTCCGCAGCGTGTTGCCTTCTCTGTTGCCACCCATGGCTGGGCGGCGTCTGATGAGCTTCACAATGCTTTACGCATTTTGCAGATTCTGGCACCGGAGTTTTTGCAAGCCTTTGGGTTCCAACAATGGAACACTGCAATCAACGAGTTTGATGAGGGAACCTATGAAGAGACATCCTTTGCCCCGCAGGGTCGGACTTGTCTCATGCTCCAAGTCGCTTCACACTGGGCCCTTGTTGAGGTTGTTCGTGAGCCGAGAGGTACCAAAATCTCCATCAGAGGGTTGCCACAGCAACTTGCTCAGCGAGCCGCCTTCATCACTTGCCGTCTCATCGATCTAGCACCACATCGTGCTATTCTGGACTTCGACTTCATTCGACCCCCTGAGCACATGTGCGGCTGGACGATCATTTTCCAGCTGTTCACGCAGGCTGGAGTCCTTGATCATTTGCCCGATGCCAGCTACTTTTGGAACATCCTCACAACGGAAGAGCATCGCCTCATCAACGACATGCTCATTGCTTCCCAACACCAGTGGACTTTAGCCAGAGCTGATCCTGTTCTTCGTGGATTTGCCTTCCAAATGCGCTTGGACTTCTTCTGTCAACTTGCACTCAAAGGGCGTGACAATGATCCTGTCACAGATCTTCCGCTTGATCCCATTTTCCCTTGTGGGAATCCCGACACTGGTGCCACCCCATCAGTTCTGCCTGGTCCTCCCTTGAGCGTTCGTTTGCCACCTGCTGAAGCTGCCACTCAAACCGAGTTGGAGCATGTGATTCTCCAGCGACTGCAAGCCTGCACGAGCAATCCTGGATGGCTCTTTTCTGACTCCCTCGATTATCACTGTGAGCTCCTGCGATTGTTGATCCCCAACACCCTTTTTGCTGCCCCAGCTCGATGGGATCAGACTACTCGGCAAATCAGTTTCATCAATGGCTTCTCTTGCAGCACCGCTTCTTATGAGCGCATCATTGTTCCTATCCTCTGGGAGCAGCATTGGGTTCTTTGTGAATTTCACCGGGAGAGTTGGGATTATCATGTGGTCGTTCGGGGACCTCGTGCTCTTAGGCAACACTCGGGGCATCTTGCCGCCGATGCTTCCTTTGCTCTCTTGCGTGCTGAGTGTGCAATTCATGTCACCTTTGTCTGTGTCACACCGCCGCAACATCTCTGTGGGTGGGCTCTTCTCTTTGATCTGTACCGCAGATTCGGCACCCTTCTGCCGCAGCCCAGTCCGAGCCTGCTGAATGACCTGCGTGTTGGTGACCAGGCTCAGTGGTTCGTTTGGATTCACGACGCTGCTATTCAGCAATGGGGTCATGACATTGATCCTGCTCTTCGTGCTTTTGCAT